TGTAGTTAACTATGGAAGCAGTCAATAATGCATGAATGTGTTATATATAGCATAGCTAGCTAGATGCTGGGATCATGAGCTGACTTTTGCAGCTATTGCAGAGTATATCAAAAGGAGTGTCTATGTATATATATACTATATAGATATGTATGTAAGATGAGCAGTAGATGTGAATATTCTAACACGTGTTGTTCTTATATATATAATAGTAAAGAATATTCTGATATATAACAAAAAAAAAAATTCATAGAATTCAAACTAATAATTAAGACATATCCAATTTTTCATACAATTGAATATCTCCCTTTTATGCAGCTAACTTGGGCTTTGTTTCTCCTGCATCCCTCTCTCTCCCTATGCAAACCTAACCCCACACCTTCATATTCATATATTTTGCATCTATATTTTTCTAATCCCATCTGTATTTTTTCGTCTTCTTTCTTATGTTTTATTTTAAGTCCATATCAATTTATAACACCCTACCACACCAAATGTACTTTTTAAAATAAATTTATGCATGAATGGTCATCGTGTGTGTGTATGCGGACCGTTAAGGTTAATTAAGAGATGAAACCCATCGATTTAATTATGTCTTAAATTGTTTTTTTTTTGTTGTTGTTGTTATTGTTAAAATACATGCCTTAAATTGTTATAAAGTTACTATTTCCATCTAATAATAAAGTTTGCACTACTTGTTCATCTTGAAACGAATAGTTTCACACTATTAAGGATCTGGTTGAGTCTAGCTAACAGATCATTCTAACTGTATATTTCTGAGGAGTTGATTATAAGCAAAATCACATGGTCTTAAAATGTTTTTTTTTGTTGTTGTTGTTAAAGTACATGTCTTAAATTATTATATGATAAAGTTATTGTTTCCATTTAATAATAGAGTTTTCACTTGTTCATCTCGAAACCAATATAGCTAGTTTCACGAATTAAATATGTGGTTGCGTCGAGTATCAAATCATTCTAACGATATCTCCCAATTGGAATTAATAGATTAAAAACAAAAACTAATGGTCTTATATACATATATATACATATATATATTTCATTAGAGATTTTCTATTCTTTTCAATATAAGATTCCTATAAATATAAATAAATAACTATCTAGGTTAGTTGAATTGTTCTAAGAGATACAATATTCTTGAAGGGGATGAAATAATCAAATTAAACAAAATTCGAGAGAAGAAGAACCAGTATCAATGCTGAAAACGTATAAAGCCTTTGCTATCATAATAAAAGCAATTCGGAATTAGATACCAAAGGTAAAGATTTTATAATCTATTTATATACTACATGAAACTTTTACAAGAGACCCATGCTATATTTAAGTAATGTTTTAAAAGAATTAAATTAAGTTATCTATTGTAAATTTATAATAAAGAGACGACGACGAAAGGGTTGGCTAGGGATAGAGAAAGAGGGGTGAGTCCTAGACCCTGGGGAGGGCCAAATGACAGTTGGAAAATGTTGTCGCCATTATCGCACCATCCTTCAATTTTTGTTATAATTATTAATTGTTACTATTAAATAAAATGGTCCGACATTTTTTTTATATTTCACCACTATTATCTTTGATCGCGACTTATCGTATCCATATACAATCAAATATTTTTGTTATTTTTTGTGCTTTTGCTTACCTCTCCCATAATATGGTCGCGGCATATATAACATTCGATACTATATTTGATTAACACGGATGTACAGTGTCGCTCCGGTCCAAAATTATATACACAAGAAAAAATGAAAATAAAAATAAAAATGGGAAACCCTAATGTTTTTTTACTAAAAGCACACCTCAATCATCAATATTATATAGAGAGAATTATGCATCATCCCTTTCTTCGTACGACGCTTAGTTAGTTATTAGCTTAGTCCTTCGGTTTACGAAAATGTAGACCCTAACTAAGATCAATAAAAGACTACTTATAATAGAAAATTTGAAATGAGGGAGATAGACTCTAGTGGGAGAAAAAAACATATATAAATAGGGTTAGTTAGTAATGGTGTGGTGTAGGTGTGGAAGAAGGAAATAGATAAAAAAGAGCAAGTAGACATTAAAAAGAGTTAAGTGACAATACAAAGCTAATTGGGTTTACTCTATTTATTAAGTAGTGGTCCTTACCCTAAACTCTTCTTTTAATACCCCTACCTCACATATCTCCATACATCATACTTCTCTCTACCTCCATCTTCTTCTTCTTCTTCTCTATTTTTTTTCTAATTAAACCGCACGATTTCAGATATTTCTGAGTTGTACAATATATAGTTTTTGGGTCTAGTATGGCATCGAATTTGTTTACAAATAAGTGAAATAGTTCTAAAGCATAGCACTCATCACTCCGTTAGTTGTTTAATTTTCTCATGAAACGAATATATATTGAACAACAAGAGAATGAATATATATAGTTGAGTAGAAAGAAGAAGAATAAAGCTGATTCTAACTCCTAGCTAGCTAATGTGCACATTATGATATCAATATGATATCGTCTTCTCGATCCATATATAATTGATAAGCCCACATATATCTATGATGACAATGTTAGTTTTTGCATCTGAGGGTGCAATTCAAATTCAAATACTAGAATGAAAAGATTTATGGAATAATAATATATACAACTATATATATGTAGACAGGTCCCGTGGCTATAAGGGTATATGCTTTGAAAAGGGCGACGCTACGACGTCCTCTTCCTAATTTCTATAAAACTAAACATTTCATATTTTGTTTTCACCATTTTTCAGAATTTAGAAATAATTTGTTGTATTCGTCATTATTAATTTGCAGAGAAACACAAAAAGAAATCCCACTGGCCAGCCGGATAGAGTAATAATATTTTGGACCGATCGATCAATTTCTTGTGAATTAATGAATTTTAATTTTTGGGACATTATGTATGATATATCATGAAATAAAGAAAAGCAAAGGTGGGTGAGTACATATATATACCTATCATACTAGCCAAGCATATATTATAAGTTAATATATATTTGATGAAGTCTCTAATAAAATTAAGAACCATCAAACCAAGAGAAAAAGAACAGGTTATCGCCTGAAAGCTTTGTGACCACTCAATTATGTAAATGTGAGATGAGAGTTTGGACCACATTGATCAATGTTCTTTCATGAGTTTCACCTACTACTCTTCAATCCTTTTTTATTTTATATAAAAGAAAACATCTAACCTTTTTGTTCTAGTTTAAATACAGCCTTAATTTAGACTTGCTTAATTGAAATAGTTCTCCCTTAATTAAGCCGAAATTAGCCATCGAGACATGAATGATGCTTTGTCTCTTTCAGGACCACTCACACCACCATATGTACGTAAGGAACGATAAGATTTAACATGAATTTACGCGAAACTTTTAAAAACAAAGCTTATTATTACAGTTTTTTTTTCTCATTTGAAGGGGTCATGTGAATGCCACGTGTCTTATTCTAGAACAACATGTGTATTATGTAGTAATGTTTACGTGATGTCGGTCTAGATAATGAGCTGTACACAAAACTAAACATTTTGAATCGGTTTCTGTTTCATTTTGCAAAAATATTAAAACCGTTATAAACAAATGAACTATACTAAAAAAATTTCCATCCCTATAACTCTAGATACTTTGGTCGGTCCACGAGTACTACACTATAATTTCTTTATTTTATTTCACGTTATATGAAAATGAATAAAGATTAAAGCATGGTTTATGTTAACGTATAAATCCTTTTTGTAGCATTTTTATTCGTAATAATAAAATCTATAAGTGAAACTAATAGCATGAGAAATTCATTACTATAGTAACCAATTGGAGGAAAACATTAAAATGAAAATGAAAATATCAGCCCACCATTTCACAGTCGCAAATGGTGATGAATCGCTTTCATCTGGTTTTAAAAGTTCGAGGAGACGGAAGACAATTCTCCGTAATACAACTTATTAGATCTTATCTGTATTAGGCACAGCAATATACAAAAAAGAAAAAAAAAAGAAACGGAATCTAGCTAGGTCCGTAAATTGTAATCATGGTTTCCAAAAAGAGATGGGTATGAGTTTAAGTCGTCAGGTCCTAACTTTTCTCTTCGAGTAAACTTGTTACTTGTTAGGTTCAAACTTGACAGCCCCAAAGTTTTAATTGTAGCCACTGTGTCACATATGCATACATTACATATGCATTCAGTCATACAAACGTATATATATATATATTTTTTTTGTCAAATACTTACTATATACACGAGTTTTTACACTTATTTATTCGCAGTTAAATAGATGTGTGAATAATTGATTTTCAAAAGAGTGAGGGCAAACCAAATATATATATATATATATATATACATATAAAGTCAACAGTAAAGACCAAACCTGTAAAACGACATGTCATTCTTGTCCTTGTAAAAGCAGATTGAGGCAACCCATCCCCAAAAAAAATAAAAATAAAAGCCTTACCACAGACCTCAATAATTAGCATTTATGTTTTAACTGTTCATAAAAATCCAATAGTCTTCTGTTAATTGTCAACCCAAAACAACTGTATCTCATATACAATTTTTATGACACATTATTACTATATATTTCATATATTACATTTTCTTTAATCTTCTTGTGAATGATATAATATGCCATTTCGATCGTTTTCTCATTTTCAACAATATTTTTACGAGTTTCTCTCTTTATATATATATATATATATTCACTGACTATATATGTCTATAACGTTTTGGAGAATGTATATTATTATACGTAGATAATTTTTGGAGTGTAAATCAAAACATATTACGGGAAAAGAAAAGAAAAAGGCCAAATAAAAGTAAATGAAAATGTCCATATGGAGAAAAATGGAACGAGGATGGTAGAAAAAGGACAAGAAGCTCACATGAACAGAACCAGATTGTTCATGGGCCCCCCCCCCCCCCGCCCCATCTCTCTCTTCTTCTCTCGACCCATATCTCTCTCTATCAATCTTCTTATATTACATGAGCTCTCTCTCTCTCTCCCTTTTTCTTTCTCTTTCTCTTCTCCTTCCTTTCTTGTTCTTGAGAGATTTGTTCCTAACTTGCTTTATCTTTCTTGGCATCCAAGAGCTTCTCTTTGCTCCATAAACAGTAGAGAGAGAAAGCTTCAAATCAAGAAGAGAGGTCAGAGAGAATAATCGTGCTAAATCAGGTGAAGTTAGGCTTAAAAAAAAACCCACTACTTGCCATTTTTGTATAATTAGGTCAATCTCATCCACCACCATACTCAATTCTCCTCCTTTTTTCCTCAATTCTCAATCTTTTAGGGTTTTATCTCTTTCTCTCTATCTCCTTCTTTAATTTCTTGTCTACCAAAAAAGATTGAACTTATTTCGAATCGTATGGTGAGGAAGTGGAAATCTTGAAAAGATCTGAGAGATTTATTTATTCCGCAAAAAAAAACAAGAAGATCGATGAATATTCAAGAAGAAGAGAAACCTATTAATGAAGAAGCTTCTAATTCATCAATGGAGAGAGAGCACATGTTCGACAAAGTAGTAACACCAAGCGACGTAGGTAAACTAAACCGACTCGTGATCCCGAAGCAACACGCAGAGAGACACTTCCCTCTAGATAACTCCACATCAAACGACAGCAACAAAGGGTTGCTTCTAAACTTCGAGGATCGAAGCGGAAACTCATGGAGGTTTCGTTACTCTTACTGGAACAGTAGTCAAAGCTATGTCATGACTAAAGGTTGGAGCCGTTTCGTCAAAGACAAGAAGCTTGATGCTGGAGACATCGTCTCTTTCCAGAGAGACTCCGGTAATAAAGACAAGCTCTACATCGACTGGAGGAGACGGCCTAAGATTCCCGATCATCATCATCATCATCAAGCTTCTCATCATCCATTCGCCGGAGCTATCTTTCCTAGGTTTTACACTTATTCTCAGTACCCTCAGATGCCGACAAATTACGAAAGCCACAACCTCTATCATCGATTTCATCAACGAGATCTAGGAATTGGCTACTATGTGAGGTCAATGGAGAGAAGTCATCCAACGGCTGTGATTGAATCTGTACCGGTGATGATGCAAAGGAGGGCACAAGTGGCTTCGAGAGGAGAGAAGAGGTTAAGGCTGTTTGGCGTAGATATGGAGTGCGGAAGCGGCGGGGGCGGAGGAAGTGTGAATAATAGTACGGAGGAAGAGTCGTCATCTTCCGGTGGTAGTATGCCACGTGGCGGCGTTTCTATGGTTGGTGCTGGTTCTCTCCTCCAGTTGAGGTTAGTGAGCAGTGATGACGAGTCATTGGTAGCAATGGAAGCTGCAAGTCTTGAGGATCATCACTTCTTTACAAAGAAAGGAAAGTCTTCCTTGTCTTTTGATTTGGAAACATGATTATGAGACTAAACACTAGTTAAAATACAAATATATATGATCATTTATACATATATATTATATATATGACACAAATATGTCGTCTTTCAAGATTTAATGATAATTATCAAGAAATTACATGTGTTTTTAAAGATTCGAAAATTGTTATAGTTTTGATTCTGATTTGAAGCTTTAATTTCCTATAATGAGTCTCTAATTCAACTTTGGCTGGTCGGTGTTATACAGAACAGAACTTTGGATAGCTAGGGATCAGTGTAAAACTTAAAAACCCATGTCCCTCAAGTCAGAAACTAATCAGAAGATATGGGCTGTCTTATAAAAGTGAAAGTGTGTATATATGTATATAATATGTGATTGCAGCATTGTGTATATATAATGACATTAAATGTTTATCAATTTTTTTATTATTTTTTTGTCTTCTGTTATCAAACTTTTTTTTACCTTGTTTAGTTTATTTGATATGGCTGCTGTCCTGTTACTGCTGCATTTTCTGAAGCTGTTGCTTCTGCTTAATTAGTCAAGCAGATTTTGCAGCTTGCAGTGAGATGGGCAGAGACAAAACTGGATATTTTCTTCATTTTACTTTTTTTTAAAATATATACTCTCATGAGTTTTATTTTATTTTTCAAAAGAAGAGCTTTTTTCATCTAGGTAAGATTGAAAAGGTATGATCTGTTTTCACAGATACTGCTGATGCATTAACTGTTGGAGAAAGTAAATGAATTTTATTTTTAAAAAATTGTTTTCTCAGTTAACAAACTGGTTTCTTGTCTGGACCATTGAACAACTCACACACATATATATACAGGCAGGGATTGTTAATGTTAGGTCTTGTTCGGTGTGACCATATGCGTGTGATCAATTTCTATAGCTGCATTCCATTGTTAGTCTCACGAGTTTTTATTTCAAGATGAAATTAACTCAACCATATATTAATCATTATACATTGTGATGCTAGTTATAGATTTAATATGTACACCCAGGCAATTGATTTTATATGGTATATATATATGTATATAGATAGTGTGTATACATGTTCTTGTTTTTGATTATTTGTGCATATTTATAGTCATAATTCACAAACATCAATTAGCTTATATATTGTCATTATAGTCTATGTATAAGCTACTTAAAGATGAGTTAAAATTATATTTTCACAGCTGTAGATTTGTACGGTGAGCCTTAGTGCAGTAGAATGTCACAACAAAATTAAAAATTGAAGTTTACGTATACGAATCTTATATTCATACAAGCTAATAAAAACTAAAGCCTTTTAGACGGGTTGAACAAAAAAAAAAGAAGGTATTTTAACTGTACATATTTGTAATATATATATATATATATGACCATGAATGCATGCAATGCAAGGATGAGCTTGTATGGAAAGATACATACATACTTTGGTCTAATATTTCACCATATTATCAACAGAAAATTAATTTATGTATGTATATCTAATTATGCATAATACTTTGGTCTAATATTTATTTGAGTTATGTCGTATGTATATCTTATATCTAAGTGTAGCAGTGTATGTATAGGAATTGCTATTTTTGTGAGGAATCTTAACTTGCAAAAGGGATAGAAATCTATAGATTTATAGCATTTGTATTTTGTAGTTCGTTAAACTAAGCAAAAAAGCAGGAGCATGTCAGGTAAAGTCATTAGCCTATTCATACCATAGCTGTGAAAAGAAGGCCATCGAAATCAGCGAGGGCTATATATATACCTATAAATTACATAATGTAATCATATAATTGCCTATATACGTGAAGAGCGTTTGAGATATTAGACGGACCTATGAATAATGATTATGATTTGTTTTCAAAGAAAAAAAAAAGAATAATGACTATGATTTGTCATGAGACACGTACCCGCCTCCCAAAAGAAAAGTAATAATTGATTTTAAAAGGCAGCTCTTGGCGATAAATTAACTAAAATTTCCAAGAAAAAAAAGAAATTAAGCATCCTACTTTGGAGAATTAAACTTTCCTTAAACCCAATCTTTTGTATCCATGGCAAAAAAGAAAAAATCATTTGGACAAAAGAAGCGGTAAGAAATACTTTAAAGTGAACCCCTAACCTAATGTTTTTAGCCATGTTAATGACCACCAAGCCATGGTGTTGCTGACGTTGATCAAGCCATGGTCTTGTTGTATTAAACTCATGATTCTCAGTTGACGACAGAGTCCTCAATTTCTCGAATTTCAAACTTTGCCCTAGAAACCCAACAATTTCTTTTATAACTTCTTCGCCGGTCATCCCTTCCACCACCTCATCGACCATCCTCGTTGTTGTCCATTAGCACCAATCTGAGCGTCACATACAATTTTCAGTTAAGGATCTCTTTTCTAACTAAACTGACACCGATTAGTACTTTGACGGGATTGTTTGTACGGGGTTTATACCTAATGGATATATAGTTCGGCATTTTTGTGTTACATACTATTTCATACAGTGACACAATTGAGACATACCAATTATTGTTTTTAAAAAAAAAATTAAAAAGAAAATGTGAATCGGTCTATTGTGTCTATTGTTCCGAGTGTAAACTTTACTAATCAGAACCAATATTTGAATTTCAGTATCCAAGATCAAGACTTTGTTTCAAAGACGATTAGGCTCTCGTTATAACTTATACCACGTTTGAAAGGGTGTAATCGTGAGAGATTTCACTATACATAATTGGTTGTGTTTTCCCCGGTGCATTGTCATTTATCGATTAGGAATCAATCACCAATGAGAGCGAAAGCAGAACGTAAAAAAAGCCTTCTTCAATTAAACAGATGATTGGAAATACTTCGCTGGAGTTAGAGAAAGAAAGTATTCACATTTGGGTAGCTAGTATTCTAGTTCAAGGGATCATGTCTAAAAGTTGAAACCTTTATATGCTCAATCTCCATGGATAAGGTCTCAAACCACTTCTACTACCAATGGCAGATCCATCAAGTATCTGACAAAGGGTTTTACTTGAAAACAAACCAAACGAAGAAGATATCTAAAGCAAAGACTCATCATTTAAAGGAAACCAATATGAACTCTTCCTATGCTCAATCTCCATGACTAGTACCAATAGCAGATCCATCAAGTTATCTGGCAAAGGGTTTTACTTGAAAACAAACCAAACATAGATGATATATAAAGTAGTTTGTCCAAAAAAAGAAGATATATAAAGTAAAGACCAGCATGAACTCTGATAGTGTTGAAAGAATTAAGCATCTGTCTGATCAAATCTTCATATAATGTAATGCAACAGAATCGATTACATACATATTTATATAGTACGTACACAAAGCAAAACAATACTCAAGTTTACACATACAAACTCAGGACGTGTGATCTATCTCAAAGCACATGTGCTCTGTAAAGTTATGACTAAACGCTACGAACGAAATGGAAATAATCAATTCCTTCTCTACTTCCGCCATAAACTCTCAGATATCAGAACACACCAACGAGAAGAGAGAGCCCGAGCAAGAAAAGCCAGACAATATGAATCAACAACAAAGCTTGTCCTGGAACAGAAGCACTTCCAGCATTACCTGTATCACAAGCTCCTGTTTTGATTACACGAGCGCCATGACAAGCTGCGTCAGGACAACCGCACCAGTACGTGACTCCATCGGCTCCACAAACCGGATCCGCCCGGAAACAGTTAATTGGGCATCCACCCGGATCAGAATCCCCGGAGCATACGCCGCCGCCGCCGGATTGATCTGGAAGATCATCGGCGGCTTGTAACCCGATCAAGCAGAAAGCTAAGAAAAGGAAAGGAATGGTCAGTGATAGCGAAGACATCAATCGAATTGTTGATGATGATGTTGAAGAGAGGTCTTCTTAAACCCAGAAATCTATTCCTCCAGAAAAACCCTAGAGATTCGTGGTGAAGGGAGTCGAGATTTCTGATTTGCTTAATGATTGAAACCCTAATTTCATGAAATTTGGGGATTTTCTCGAGAGAGTTAGCGTAACCGTGTTGTTTGAATTGGTGGTACAGCTGGTCCACCTACCGAGTGAAGTAAATTATTGAGACTACGCGAAGTTTTTCATTTAAGCAATTAAACGTCTTGCCATTTATTTCGACGACGTCGTATTGATACATGTTAAGCAACTTCGATTTGCTTCGAAAATTCTAAACCAGATTTTACGGGTAGATAATTTTGGAAATAAGAAAACATGTTTGATTCAAGTCATATTTTCGGTTTAAACCACTATATTTTGTTTTAACTTTTAACATCAACCACTAAACTTGATTCGTTAACGTTTAACATTACAAACTTTATAACAAAGCTATATAACCCTAAAAGTGTCTCCCAATTGCTCCCTTATCACTTGTAGTTGATGAGTCTTCTCAGTTTTAAACTGAGAATGGGTTCAGAATAAAAGAACTGTTTCACTATCCTGAAATATATCTTGGCTTCACCGATCCTTTCATGTTTCAAAAGACTTCTCTCTTGGATCAGTTTCACTGTGACCCGAGTGTTTCTTCCTGATGCTTTATCTCTTGCGGCATATCGTCATGCCATCGCCGATTGGTACCTAATGCACAAAGAAAGGTGAAAAACTGAAGAGCTCGTTGTGTTGGGACTTGGGAGAGTACAGTGAGAGAATCCAGAAAGAAAAAAAACTCACCATACTAATGCTTACACGTTTATCGCCCATTAACTTTTTGTTGAAATTCCTAATGCTGATGGTCTTTGCATCATTCACCTGTTGGTTTAGGAATATGTAATTATGATCTTTCTTCTCATTCGAGAAGCTTTTAGAGCATGGTTGTGTTTATGTAAGATGCATACCATAGGATCCGTAACTCGTCCATGCCAAAGAACATTATCCATCACAATGACTCCACCAACTCTGACCTGCGTCAGCAGATATAACCGCTAAAGATAACCTATGGAAAGAGACTAGCAAGTTGTGATTCATCTTACAAGTTGAAGAAGCAATTCGAAGTAATCCTGATACATCCTCTTATCAGCATCGACAAATGCAAAATCGTAACTGCAAGCAAAAGAAGCTGAAATTTTAGGGAAGCATTTCAAATCGAGCCGAGCCACCCTCAACGCTACAATGAAAGAAGCTTACTGAATATACCTGGATTCTTCACCATTCTGAATCATGGATTTCAATGATTCAGCCGCAAGACCATGTTTCACATTAACCTGACTAGAGCAAACAAATCAAAGAATCATACAGCTGTTCGTAAATGAATCTATGTTGAGGAACCATGTTACAAGGATAGTATCAATATTTACAAGATAAGGTTCGAACAGTCGCAAACGAAAAAAGAATAAAACAGTAAATCTTTCGTGCAATTGAATGGGATATTTTTTCGGTCTCACCTTGTGAGAGACTCCGGCAAGGTCGTAGTACCTCTTAGCAACTTCAAGAGAGTTAGAATCTCTTTCACAGGCAACTAGACACCCTGATTCCGGTAGCACTAACGCCACAGCCAATGAAGAATATCCCTATCGAAAACACGGAAAACGGCTGCGAATTGCTGCTACTATTCTCATAAAGATAACAGTGCTCATAAAACTCATAGGAAGAAGATTAAACACCGTGTAAACTCCAACTTCAATACATCTTTCTGCTCCATGAATCTGTACAAGCATTGCAAGCAGTTGCGCTTGATCAGGCGACACCTACAGCCAAAACCAAACGCAGTTTACTACTAAATTAGCTTACTAGTGTCAAGAACAAAAACAATATAATCCATTTTTTTATAGAAAAAGCTAATTCAAAATTCCAAACAAATAGAGCATAAAATCAGAGATCATCCACAAGCTGAAAGCAGTAAGAGAACCTAATCCAGTGAAATTGTTACCTGCATTTGACTCCCTCGCATTTTGGAAGTCTCTTCTCTAAGTTGCCTCAAAATCTAAAAAATAATCAACCAAGTAACTCTCTACAGATATGAGGAAACGGAGGACGAAAACCAAAGCAGAGGAGGAGTTTACACAAACCTTAGGCTCGCGTACGTTGGAGATGACATAGTCGTAAAGGCGAGGAGTGAGACTAATAACCTCTTTGTTACCGTACTTCTCGTCGTCGGACATAACAAAAGGACTCGCCACTGTCGAGCAGTTCCCGATCAGCCGGCGACTGAATTTCAAACTCCTGACGGCGGAGACCGTTGGCCGGTTAAGTAAAGTATCGGCCGCTCTACATACCGAAATCGAACAGCGATTCAGAGCTAAACCGGTCGACATCTTCTGCTTCCCCCAAACTCAAAGCGTAACGGAACTCGAAATCTATCTGCGTGACTGCGTCTGCTCTAACCAACCGGGTCGGGTCATTATGATGTTGAAACGGGTTGATGGTATATCGAAGATAAAAATAATTTATTCGTTTATTAAATTAAGTCATAAAGCCCTTAATATTTGAAATATCTCTCACAGGTAGATTGTAAACTTATATTAGTTTTTATAAATAACCCTTATGTTCGGAATTAAACAAAAAAAAACACACACACACACACACATACTGTACTTCAATTTCTTCTCCAATTTGGAATTTTGATCGAATGATAAATCTTATACTACCAGAGATTATGGTATCAAAATTTATGCATATTTTTAGATCATAGACAATTTGTGGTGACTAAAACAACACGTAAAACATATGCCAGTCTCCTATTTGATCTAGCAAATAAATTGCTACTAAAACTAAAGTACAGAGTCACTTTGTTGTAAATGATATCATATCATCATTCCATCTACAAAGTGATTTTTTATGCCAAAGCTTCTTTGTACATGATATTTTCATCTGTCGTGAGAGAGTATATTATTACATGTGGTAGAGAGATCTTCCAATCGTATGACATAAATAAATCAATAATTTAACGAGTTCATAAGAGAAAGATTTAATTAATACTGATTACAGGTTTGTTAATGATCTACATGACTAGATTGACACTAAAGCTAAATATAAAACATTTGTTAATGACTTAGAAAAAAAAAAAAAAAGAGGACAAAGACAAAAAAAACTTTGTGAACCACATATTGAAGTCCACGAGAATCGCATTTGAAAATTCGACATCAATCAATTCGATGTGACTTGACAGGTTACAGTTATATAAACATGTTATATATGTCATACACTTAAGTTGTTGACATGTTCCCTTTGATATTATTAAAAGATACTATGCTTTTAGAATACAGTATATAATAAGGTTATATGGGTAAGAATACTATTACTAGCTTTAATGTCATTTGGGTAAGAATACTATTACTAGCTATTCGATTATTTCCAATATAGTTTAACCACTTAATTTTTGATAATGCTACTATTTTATATTGTTGTAAATTGTAACTCTTTCAAATATAAACAATTTGAGATAATACCAATCTGTTTAGTTCGATTTCTTGATTTTTTTTTATTATTTTTGGGTAAAGTTCTTTATGTCTTTATTGGAAACCTAAATCTTATACTTTGTCAACTGTATAGTTGTTGTTAACTTCTTTAATAAATGACCGAAGAGTTAAAAACTCATTTCCTACGACCGTGTTTAAAGCGCGTGTCTTTGTTTAATATTCTCACCAATAAAGTAATTATGAATTCGTAAAAATGGTCATCTAATTACAACATGTGATGTGGGAACCTATATTAAGAAAATTAAAGAACCAAGTGACGATTGACGAATATTGATCGTGTTTAACTCACGACGCGTAGAACGAGTCGTCGTGCAATAATTTATAAATCTTATATAAGGTGGCTGTAGATAAGAATATGTAAAACAGATTAAATTAATATGTGTGACCTGCCACTTTTTTAGACATCTATGTGATCTGCAAACTTATATATAGTCAATATTAATGGATTTAGTGTACTTGGTCAAATTATATTTGAGCATGTACATTTGAACAGCGAATGATATGGGTATGTTATGTATTCATAAAGATATATAAAACATTACTTAGTTACATTACATGTCTTGACACATTTGCATATATATTTTTGACTCCCTTGTCGATCAGTAGGGTTTGTGTAGTCCATCTTGGAAGGGATCCTTATCAGTACGTATTATTGAAGTATGTTGATGACTGTAACATGTAAGTTATAAACCGTATGAGGTTATGACCATAAATAGATAGATAGACAATGAAAAATAGTTTTGATGAAGATAAAGACATCGAAAATGTTACTCTATAGTAATTTTGTTTCCACGAGCACACTCAAGTCATGCATGGATAGATATGTTTTTTTTTGTCACGTACGACTACGATTTCTTTTGGTTGTATGTGAATATGGTAAAAATCACCCAAATGTATGGTGGATGATTGCCTTTTGTCGCATCCAAAAAGAATATTCCACCGTCTATATTTATCGTTTTCATGTTACTGAAATTTTTTATAATCTTTTTTTTTTCACCAATTTTATAATCTTTAAAAGTCACATATATATATATATATATATTTATCGACAATAAAAAGCATTATTTAAGGAAAATAGTAATAAGTAAAAAAGAAGAAAGCCAATAATTAAATTTACATTAATTGTAATCTGGTCTATGGCTATTTTGTATTTACTGTTTAAAACTGTATGACTTTAGTCATCCCTTGTGTATCGGTAAATTTTATTAATATTATATATATATATATATAATTTATTCGAATATTATAACATTTGAATGCAAAATATTGGTCAGTCGCATGACTCACATAGTCACATGAAACTAACATAATAAATGTTCAAAACTCGATTAGGGATAACAAGGATTCAGAAGTCTCAAATTGTAATTATAAAACGTTATTTGCTATTTTTAATGATAAAATAAAAATATTAAGTGTTTTACTTCAATTGAAATGTAAGTTTCATGAAAACCAACTTTACAGAAAATAAATATCTTTGCAGGATTGGAAATAATCAGACAAAGTTTGTTTTTTTTTTGTATAAAGAAAAAGACACATCTTTCACGTTTGTGTATGACGCAAGACCCACGACTCATCTACTGACCTATCGAAATTTTGTTTCCTTTCTTATTATTCGTTTTC